ACGTCAAGTCAATTGCAACAATTCTAGTAGTCAGAAGCCAAAGTGACTTTCGGAGTTTCTCTGCGGACAAGCAGACTGGAAGGATCTTTCAGAATTTGCTCATTTCAATTTGGATGATACATTAGTTGGAACCTTGGTCCCGCAATGATAACTGTCAAAATAAGGCATTATTTTTATTACCGATATGCTGTCTACTTAAATAGTTACAGTCGCTGTTATTTTAAAATAAAGCCAAGTGGTCTCGCCGGCGAGCGCCTCCGACCAGGCAGTGATTTCGTCCTCGTCCAAAATACAACTTTCGAGTGAATTTCCACCTCAACGACTGGACTCAGGCACCCCAGAAAATGAGGCCACACACTGCACCTACGACCCCTGCTTCCTCAATCCATCAGGCCAGACAGTCCGCAATACGCAAGTGACACTGGCCGGTGAAGACACCGGCACGGTCATGACGGCACCAACATCAGTGCCCCAATGGCAGCCAAAGTTCTTCGGTTATTGGTCCCTCCAGGAGAATTTTGGGTCTCTGCCAAATGCGCCGGGGCTTCCAGCAACCCCCGAATCTCAGGGCCTCCTCGACATGTTCCTGCCCTCCTTGCGGTGCCAGACTTGGCCTTACGAATCCGCCGGCGGAATGACCGCCTACAGTTCTCGGGCTGGTCAGCTAGCCATCACCGACTGCTTCCACTGCAATGAGACCTCCGGGTCCGTCATGCCCAGCCTCCAAGCGAATACCCGCGGTCCGAGCGATATGCAGCCCCAGCTCTGGGGTGGCATACTTCCGCTGGAGCAGACAGAACAGTCCGAAAGCGAGGGCTGCTCCTCCTCAATGGAGGACGGTGATGAGACGGGAGGGTTGGGTCAGTCCAAGTTGGAGAACTTTGGCGGCCAGGAATATGCCGCCACGTTACCCTCCGCCTCCTCCTCCGGTTGCCACGCCTCCGCCTCCCAGAACCTCGTCGTCTCGGGACGGTTTCAGTTGCAGTTGGAGGTTCAGGCACGGGTACGAAACCGGTGTGAGATGCGACAGACGATGCCACTGCCCATGTCAGTTGGGGTCCCCACGGCCTACGGTCCACACCCCCTCATGCAGCAGCATCACCATCAGCCGCAGCAGCAGCAGCAGCAGCTGGTACCACAGCACGTCCGCGCCGACAGATCCTACTATTCCCTTCCAGAAAAACCCAACAGTGAACTCTTTCACTACCGAGGTTCCCCGCCGGGCGCCGTTCACCTGACAGAATCCGGCGTGTCCAACACCTGCTCCGCGCTCATGCCCTACCCATCGACCGGCCCAGGTGAATCCCCCATGAACAAGGCCGGGTTCATGTCCGGCAACGTTGTCTAATGCTCAACTGTCGAATGGTCCACGCAGGCGGTGACCAGATTTTTTTGTTACTTTTCCAAAGGCTACGAGAAGATTTGATTCTTTAGAGTTATGCATATAACTTTGATTAATAACACACTCTGCCCTTCTTTATGCGTTCACTGTTGCCTGTTTGCGGGATGACAGAGCTTCGAAAACTGCTTCATTTAGCGGACCATTTGGCGACTTTTTGTTGGACTGGATAGCAACAGTTTGGCACGAAGCTAAGTCCAAACTTTACCGCCGCAGTTGAACCAATGGGAGACGCTAGTCACTGCGAGCATTAGGCCCAACTCCGAACAGAAGGAGAATATGTGGGACGCCGATCGGGAGCATGCTGTATTCGGTACAGAACAACCAGAGAAAAAGTTGGTAGGAGTGGACAGTCGGACGATGGAACGTCCGACGCCGTGAGAGCGGCGTCTGCGAGTGTGAGATAACGGGCAGTCGCCCAGAGCCCTCAGCGAGGTCAGGCTTGAGTCAGTCTCGAAGATGATTGGCCAGTTTGGACGTCCGGCATTGACCGAGAACCAGACTGCGATTGGTACGCACATACAGCAGCAGCATGAGCTCAGAGATGGGCCACTACAAGTCTTTTTTTTCAACCATAAGCACTGGCTGTCAGAGCATCTCTGGACTACCTTACTTCTGCTCGCGTTAACCCAATCCGTGTCACCGTAGCGACAAAAGCAAACGATCTATTTTAATCAGATATGCATAGCCTAAAGTGTCAACCAATGATTATGAGGAGAAAAGATGAATGGTGGGAACATGTATGCAACCGCAAGTGCCAGGTCATAGGACACGGAGAATTACGAAATTGCACACATTTGGCAAATTCGTTGACTTAGTAAAAATTCGTCGTTAATTTATTTTTTGTCTGACGCTGCGAAATTTCGACAGTGGGTCAGTCGTCCAGCACCTTCAGAGAGGTCATGCCTGAATCGGCCTCAAAGATGATTGGTCAGTTTGGACAGCCGGCATTGATCGAAAACCAGACTGCAATTGGGGCTCACGCACAAGTAGCCCCGAGAGACACAGATTTGGGCCACTAAAAGACAACTTGGAGAATTTCCCATCTACATGGCATCTTGCCCTTGGAGAAGAGTTGGTGACAAAGATGCAGGAGGCTGAAATGACAATTCACGGCTTATTAACTGCCAACCCAGATACCGGCTCAATCGGAGTCTGGACCGGGGTCCACTAGGTCGTTAGGCATTTCAAGTTATAGAAGCAAAGAGACGAGTCCCAGGAAGTAGTCCTGAAGGAGGATACACGATCGCTGGGACAAGTTATCCTGTGTTCTTGACTCTGTCTTGACATCAGGCCCAGGGGAGGAGGGGGTGGAGAAGAAGGAGAGAGTGCGATAGATGCTGTGCAAGTCTACTATTACTATAAACTAATTAATGTGCGAGTCGCCGTCCCTGCTCTCGCCCAACTGTGAAGCACCCGGGGACATCGTCGAAATCGACAGTCGAACTGTCAGGCATTTCAAATCAAGTGCTCTTACCACTTGGGCCATTGGAATCACGTTCTGTCGGCTGTAAGCGGGAATATGTGGTGCCACGCGGTGGTGACGACGAGTCCGTCATAACACCAGCTAGCGCAATGCAGTGACATAAGGGGCCGGCGATGTGACAACCGCGCCTCTACATGACCTCAACTTGGCTTCACTAATGGAAGCAAATATGCTAATCCCAGGTTCTTGTTGCAAGGAGAATGAACGCGCGATCACTGGGACAGTACGCGTACTAATCTGAGCTCTCGGTCCCGTATAGGAGACCATCATCAGAGACTGTGAGAGTGCGGTGTCAAATGAACAGTTTTTTAGTCAAATAAAGATGGGTAGGAGATAGGAATGCCGGGGGTGGTGTTTGCGATATGGCTGAGTCAACGTCGTCTCACGGCGGAGTGACTGCTTGAACCCTGTGAGTTTGATCTCGCCTCTCGGCAGCGAGAACGGAGCGCGTGATAGCAACGCGTCTGTTGATGGAGTTGGTGTCAGGCCTCAAGGAATGCTCGACCTTTCTTATTGCTGGCTCGTGCAATTACAGTGAACCAGAGGGACGAGTAAGAGAACTTCAGCATCTTTGGGACCAACTGGCAAGGAATGGATACCTGAACAGCTTCGTCGGCAGCTGCCTCCGCACGCACCCACGGCGAAAAAACGGAGGAGAGACGCCAGCACTCTGGCACCCTCTACCATATATAAAAAACGTGTCCGAAGCGATGGAACCTATCGCTGAAGAGCTCGGCGTGGGTATCGCTTACCGTCCGACAGCGCCCATGCGTAACAAAATAATGCGATTGGAGGACCAACTAGACGTGGAAGAACAATTGGGTGTCGTTTATCAGATCCCATGTCGGGACTGCCCTCGCCACTACACAGGACAGACCGGAGGACGACTTAGCTCATGAATAATGGAGCATAAACGGGCGGTCCGGAGGGGCGACCCGCTGTCTCAGGTCGCTACTCACACCCTGGAAGAAGGCCACGAATTCAACTTCGCGAGCCAGCAATAAGACAGGGTATTACAGCTGGTCTTGCACTAAATTCCAAGAGTGTGAGACTTAGGACCAGGGCTAGGATTAGGTATGAGGGTCAGTGTCCCGTTGAGGTTCAGAGCTAAATTTCACGCACCGAGATAGCAACCATACTGGTACAGTGAGTGACCGACCTCATGAAATGTTTGAAATTCTGAAATGCGTTTTCGATTGGGAAGGATTACTTAGGCACCGTTGTAACACTGATTATCTTGCGACATAATCCTATAATATTTCGGACTCGGCAGGATGTTAGCTTTTGAATGCACTGCTTTTAAATTTCCTGTAGAAATCGACCTCGGTAAAAAATGACCACTTAAATACCATGCATTTTTTACATAAATTTTCGATGGTCTTGCAAATTCGAATATTAGTATCACTATCAGTATATTTTAGGGAAAGTAGGCGTGTACCTTTGAAATCCCTATTGGTTACATGCAGAGGAAGTATATGGAGAAAATGGAAAGGAAGTGACATGAAAGAAATAAAAGGGGAATAACAAAAACTTTACAGATGAACACAGAATGTCATGCGTTAACAGGATTCAGAGACACATTAACTTGATTTGTTGATTAAATACAGCGGACAGTTGAAGCACACTTAAGATACGGGAAAAGAAGTAACATTTTTTAGTCTACAGGCATCGTGGTGAATGCGAACAGCGGTGTGCGACGTGGTTCAAAATTAATAAATTACACAAACATATGTTACTTAAATGTTGGTAGTAGCATCGTCACAACACTAGATTGTCAATTTTGGCTATCAAGGTGGCGTTAGACTGCCGTTATTGTGGTTCGCGCTCCAATGGTGATCTAGCTTCCGTTTAAAAGTATCTACGGATCCCGACATAACAACATCCTCAGACAAGGCATTCCAAGCTGCAACAACTCTGCTGGAGAAGAAGAATCTTCGGGTGTCTAGCCGGGCACCAGTCACACGCAGTTTGAGTGGATGGCCCCTCAGGTTAGTCGTAGTCGTCAACTCGAAGAAATCTCCAGATGCGAGGCAGCAGCCCTGATTGCGCACGATGCGGAAAGCTTGTATCAGGTCCCCACGTAGTTGTCTGTAACTCAAAGGAAAGAGGTCAAGATTAGCTAATCGCGTTTCGTAGGGTAGTGACCACTCCCAGATACAAGTTCGTTCCCCACCGTTGAACCTTTTCGAGTATGCCAAAGTCTTTAGCGGTCCAGGGTCTCCATGCTTGGATAGCAAACTCCAGATGCGGTCGCGCGAAAGTTTGAAATACCTTGACGAAGCAGTCTTCATCAAGGGAGGAGAACGCCCGTTTGACAAGGTATAGCATGGACATCGCCGACTTGGCCACCTTTGAACATTGCAGCGAAGGCTTAAGCGCTTTTGTGATCCATACACCCAAGTTCTTCTGGGCGTCGACTTCTTGCAGTGGTTTGCCAGTCAGACGGTAGACCGTGCGGTTAGGAGAACTGGTTCTGCCGACGCGTAGGAAAATACACTTGTTTACGTTGAACGGTAGAAGCCAGCCTTTCGACCACTGCTCGAGGTGGTCCAGATTTGTCTGCAGTCGCGTCTCGTCAACTTCGCTTTGTATGGTACTCCAGATCTTTATGTCAACGGCAAACATTGCGGCATCGCAATCCAGTTCGTTTGCGCAGTCATCGACGTAGACGAGGAGCAGTGTAGGGCCAAGAACAGAGCCTTGGGGAACACCAATCCTAACGACAACCTCGGCAGATTGCGGGTCACTGACGTGGACGGCTTGAGAGCGGCCGATTAAAAAGCTCAGAATCCACATCAGAAGCTTACCTCGCACTCCTGCAGGGCGTAGTTTGTATAGAAGGCGGTGGTGAGGCACACTATCGAAGGCCTTATTAAAGTCAGTATAGATGGCATGTACCATATCTCCTCTATCAACAGCCCTAGTCCAGTGTTCCAGACAATAGAGCAGGTTTGTCACACAAGATCTGCTTTTGCGGATTCCATGCTGAGAATCGGAAAGCAAATGGTTTTGTTCAAGGAACTGCATTAATTGTTGCTTTATTATCTTCTCCATAATCTTGCAGCAAATGGAGGTGAGGCTGACAGGTCTGTAATTGTTCGCAGAGACCCGACTTACGCCCACGTACAGCGGCGTAATCCACGCCGACTTCCAGTCGGGTGACAGATATCCGGTCTCGAAGGATGTATGGAAAAGCAAGGAGAGTGGCTTAAACAACTCACAGGCGAGTTCCTTCGAAATCTTCGCCGGAATCTCATCGGGGCCTGGTGATTTAGATTCCTTTAGCCTCAGCAACTCCGTCAGAACCATACCCTCAGTGAACTGAACGGTCTCCATAATTGTGGTGTCTTCGAAGGGTTACAGGATCAAAGGGTTGAATCCTGTTTCGCTACTAAAAACAGACCGAAAAAATTCTGAAAGGTGATCAACTTTAGCTCTGTCTTCAGTGAGATGTTCGCCTTCAGCAGTCCTTAGCAGGGGTATTGGGTCCTTGTTCCGCGTGCACTGCCTAATGTAACTATAGAATAGTTTAGGGTTCTCCGCGGCACGGTTAAGCAGATCCCGTTCGAATTCCCTTCTAGTTTTGAGGATAAGGCCCTTGACTCGATTTCTTTGAATTTTGTATGTGCATATAGATGCGGGGCTCCTGTCAGAAAGCGATTTTTTCCACAGCCTTCGTTTTTTATTCACTTCATTCTTCAAGGCTTGCGTAAGCCATCGATGTCTGTTAGTTAACCTCTTTCGTGAAAGCGGACAGTGGTGTACGATCAGCTCGAGCAGAATTTCTCGGAACCGTTGCCAGTCTTCGAGTATGCTCCCAACAAATATGGACTCCCACTTAATGAGTAAAATTTCAGCCCTCATTTGGTTGAAATCCCCTCGCCAAAGGTTTCTTCTAACTGTCACGGGTTTCTCGGGCATAGAAAAAAGCGAGCAATCCCATAGAAGAACGACGTGGTCACTTTTACCTAAGGGGGGGGGTAGGCATAACACCTCATCAATGCTGTCCTGTGACTTCGTAAGGACAAGATCAAGGCAGTTGGCTTGTTGGCCTTCGCGTACTCTAGTTGGTAACATGACGTGTTGAGTGAGAAATAACTTCAGTGCCGTGTTCAGAAAACTCCCATCGAAGGTCTGCTCTGAGCTATTTGCATAGGTCGAGCTCCAGTCAATATGAGGCGCGTTAAAGTCACCCATGATCAGGATATCCGGCCGCGTCGCGAACTTTTCAAGTTCCTCCAGCAGGCAAGCGTCGACCATGTTGTCCCGTCTTGGCGGCTGATAAACTGTCAGGACATCGAGGCTAGGCGAGCTCGGCACTTCAATAGACAGCCAGATTGCTTCGGAACTGCACGAAAATTTATCGGTCTTGTCTGATACATTTAGCCCATTTTTCACATTCGTGAGTAGGCCCTTCCCTATCCCTTCTAAACATCTGGTAGCCAGGCAAGGCCAGCTCACGGTCGTCCACGTGTTGGTTGTTGGTTACGTCAGCGGATAGATCGCAGAGGTGGATCTTCAGCTTGTCGAACTTTGATAACAAACGCTGCACGTTCGTGTACAAGAATTTCAATTTCCGGAGACAAGAAGGACTCAGAATGGCTGGAGCCGGGCTTGTACGCAGTGGCTGAAAAGTCTATGTAGCGGCTGAGGACCTCAAGGGTTGTAAGAAAACGCTAAGAGGAGATCCTAGCGGAGACAGATCTGAACAGAACTGTTACCATCTCTTGACACTCATTCACACGCAGGAGAAGAAGGTACGTCGAGTAAGGGATATAGTATAATATAACGAGATGGGCACGGGAGACGTGTATAATAATTGTTAATAGTACAAGCGGGATGAGTTACAACTGTAGAATAACCTGTCTGGGTGGAGAGACGATACCGACATGCCAGTTAAACAACCGATGGGGAACGTAGCGCTGTGGGCAACTGCAGGGAAGGGCCGAGGGAGGTGCCGCCGTTGAGAGAGAGGGAGAACGGTAAGATGCGGGAGAAGGGGTCGGCGGGGAAGGGACACCGGCCATCTGCACCAGTATGCGGTTACGCCATCTAGGTCCTCGCGCCGAAAAATGTTACAGCATTCAAACAATCCCGTTCATGTCAAGGGGCGTTACAGCTAAACGGCTCATCTGCGCGTGTCTCACACGACCGCGTCCTGCGGGGGGAAGCAGGGCGGCTCAGGGCTCGTGTGAGCGAGGGTGCCCATACACGCCGCGTGGAGAAGGAACCACTGAGCTTCGAGCCAATCAGCACACGCGCACACCGAGGACCAACTTATCCCTTCACTTGGCAGCCTGAGAGATCGCGACTGTTAACGCATATGCGACCAAGGCACAAGTCACACCTTAAAGTACCCTTGTCATACGTAGGTCGTGCTGTGAGCAGTGGGAGGAGATAGCGTCTCAGGTCTTTTGCCGCAGAACACTCGGACCAAACTTTTAGGGACGTTTGGAGGCAAGTACTGCCAACAGAAGCGTAGAGACACAGACCGGGGGCAACCATCAGGCGTCAGTTAATGAAACAAAATGACCCGCTGCCAGGGCAAGAAACATATGAAGTCGTTTATCGGATGTGGTGCAGTTGCGGACAAAGCAACTACGTCGGAGAAACCGGAAGACAACTCCGAACGAGAATGGTCGAACACGCTGCAGCGGTGTGACGCCAGTTCTCAAGTTGCGGCTCACTCGACGAGATCCGGCCACACATAAAAATTCGACGAGGCCGAAATTCTCGCAAGAGGCGGCAACCGCGTGAGCCGGGAGCTACTTGAATCATGGTTTACTGGCCCCCAGTCCACTAACAAGTGCAATGAACTTCCCACTCCATACTCGGTGCTGAGACTTCGTCTAGGCGGAGTAATTAGCCACGCGGGGAGCGCACGGATGAACCCTGTTTCCAACACCAGAGTCGATGCGTCAGATGGTCGAGCAATCATCACACCAACATCCAACGCACGTGATAAAATTTCAGCTATTAACGACGCCAATGTCGGTCGTCAAACCATAAGCACACCAAGTGCGACGATCCCTGATGAAGGCGAGGGAGCCGTGAATATTCATGGGTATGTGGTAGCATGGCGACTACATCCTATAAATACTGCAGCCCCTTGTGCATGAATCACCCGTATCTGCTGTTTTCTCTGATGATGGGTTCTAGCAGGAATCCGAAACGTCAGACTAATAAATTTCTTGTCCCAGCGATCGTGTCTCCTTCACGCAACTACTGCGCACCGTGTGCTAGTGAGGAAAGCTTCTGAAGAAATGAGCAAGCCATCCTTTCGGTTTAAAACTCCTAGGCGGCAGAGCAAATGTAAGGAAGGATGCGGCGGTCGGATCTTATTTCTTAGCCGTGCCTGCAGTAGACAAGCCCCGGCCTAACCCCTAACCCCCCCCCTTAACCCTGATCCCTAACCCCTAACAGGTACGGCTACGAAATAAGATCGCGCCGGTGCTGCTTTAAACCAAGGTAGGGGCTCTGTCGGTGACTGCCTGAGAGCTTACAGGTCGAGTCTTTATACGTGCTGGTCATAATTCCACCCAAATGTCCCCAAGTTCATGCGTACCTTTCGCACCCTAGACTAATAAACTCCAGTCTGCAGAATTTGCCATGATATTTTTGACCCAGTAATAGCTGCCAGCGGTACGTAGACGCATGAGATGCCTTTGAACGCTGAAAAAAGCTGATACCATCAACAGATTAACGTGGCGAACAAGTCTGCAACGGGTGATTTGCCGGTCTTCTTAACTAGTGCGCCGATGTCTGAAGTTCTCGTGCTTCTACTTTTCTTCTAAAATCCGGTTATCGCGATAACCTTGATTACAACTCACTTCATCAGTGCTAATCGTAATAAGAGCAGAAAATCATTTTAGGATTGACATATAACTGACCTTGTAATTCAGCTATGCACCCGCGCGGGAAATGCACGCGATGTGATTGGCTACTCGACTACGATACGGACGCGAACAGGCGGACGTTTCCGAGGTCGATGCGAACTGGACTTTTAGAAAAGTTTAACTTGATGTGAAATCCTTTCACGTTCGATTGCCATTAGGGATGGCTTGCGGTGGCACTTACAAGTCCTGGATATGAAAACGGGGCTAATTCAGGTTAAATATTAATGGGGCTGCCCGTTAAAAGCAGTTGTTCATTAACGTCACTCCATGATTAGTGCATGTTGTATCTGACAATTTTTTTGTTTACCATGATGAAGCCTGACCAATAGGTCCAACTATGTAAATTGTCCGCTTATAGCAAAGGTCAGTAGAGACTTGAAAACAACGATTAGATCCTTAGTGGGAAAGGACAAGGTTGCCACTAATACAAGTATCCGGACGGTTCTAGAGGAAATAATCAACATAGTCAAGTTGAAGTGATGTGACTAAATATAAAGCCTCCATTTTGACGGCCTTATTTCACGTTCGTAAAACAGATATTGCTAGGTTGCAACGAGGCAATCGTTACCTGAATTCCTACCGATCGCAGAAGTTTGCGCGGCCGTCTGAGAAGCCGCGGTTTCGTCGCGTTGCCGTATAACATGAACAGAACACGTGTCTTGGATCTCAGCTGGAATTTGTTAATACACTTTTCGAGTCTTCAACTATACCGCCAATTCACATGCTGGACATTTTGTGAATGCCCAGCTGGAGTGAACACCGTCCAGCCCTCCTTTTATAAAAGATCCTGGCTGATCTGAAGGGTCATTGTTCCACTTTGAAAATCGTGCCTTAACTGTGTCCCCCAAATGGACCAACGTCTTGTGAGTAATCTCCCCCCCCCTCTCTCTCTCACCCAATGCAGTCATCTTTAGACGGTCCTGAGGTAGTGATCCAGCTCGTTCATCGATCGTCGTGGAGCGGAGTCGAAAAAAGGACTTGTCACCAGACTAGTAATATGTTTATATCTCCAACATAACATGTCCGTGTCGGGCCTCATACAGCCAGTCCGGAAATCTTGACTAATAGACCTACAGGATGCTACAATGCTTAAATCGCAGAAAGTATGCAACGAGCAACAGGAGGGCCCGCTTATTTCCTGCGGCGATTGGGATACCAATGAGGGACGAGATTCACGAGTGCTTCGTGGTGGCCGGTGGGAAACCAGGGGTCCAATTGGTCACTTACACCTACCACAGAATCGGACCGGTAACGAACGGAGTCCAAGAAGAACCGAAGTTGATAGTAGGCCAGTTGAACTACGAAAGGATATCGTTTGGTTGACGTGCGTGGACCCCAGTCTGATAGTGGAGACACTGCAGCCCCTATGCACAGAACTGAAGTCTCCTACTGAGAGTACACGCCCTCCAGTTGTTGGGATAGAAGGTTTCCGCATTCGTC